CACACACCCCCAAAAAAAACCAAACACAACCTTTTGTTTTAAGGCCTGCAGATAAGTGAAAAAGGCTCAGAAGATAATACCACAAAAAGATACAACTGCTAACTGGCATTTAACAAGGCTTCCAACATCCACCGAAAGCGGGACATGAAAAGCTTTATAATGTTTGATATGAGGGAACTTTTGAATTACCTGAGAAACACAGAAAAACAACCGATTAAAATTCAAAATGGTGTTCCTTTTTAACAGGTGTAAATGGTTTTTAACATGCAAGTATTAACAAATAGCCCACTTGAAGATCAATAACTCACATTTTCTGGAAGCCCGCACGGTTCTTGTTCAAGCAGAACCTTTGAATCATGGCCTGAAACAACATAGACGATGTGAAATATATTTAAAAATGCAATAAGCATGAAAATGTTTCTAACGAAAAACAAGGATCTCTAGAACATATTTTTTATAGTAGTAACAAATAGTTCTCAACAACCATTCCACTGTAGTAATGATATTTAACAACAGTATGTTGAATGAGAAAAGTAAAGAATTATAACTAAAACAAATTGACATGGGTTTCCAAAGATAATGCTTAAGGATGGAGATAGCATTTAAAGAATTTCAGTTCTAACCTTCAACTCCTTCATCGGTGAGAACCAAGTTAGCCCTCCTACTAGCATAGAGCCACACTACAGCCTCATCATCACCGACATTCCAGGCGATGAGGGATCTTGTAACCCAATATGCCCTTGCAGTTGATAGGCAGTCCTAAATGAAGTTCAAGAAGAGACATTTTCTGGCAAACTCAGTTTCCATTTAATCTTTGACCGTTAGTGTCACATTCATACACATTTTGCTGAAAAGACATTTTCAGCAAAGAAATATACGTAAATGATCACATTCCTTCATAATTCCGAACACCCCCGATTCAGCAGTGACCTTCATTCAAATTAGGGTTTACCCCTACTCTAACTCGCGACATTCTTAGTATTATCAAACAATAAGACAAACAAACTAGTCAAGCAACATTTGTACTACAACTACATCCATTTAAATTGATTGACGATCAAATTCCTTCATTTTGAGCATGTACACTAGCTGAGCGCCCCCAATTTCACGTCGATCTCCAAACTAGGGTTTATTCAAAAACATCTACACTCCGTAACCTCACTCGAACTACAATGCGGAGTCAATTAGGGCTCAAATTCGCTATAATTTTCGCAAAACCAACAGATATATAGAGACCAGACCTGAGATAGAAATCGTTCAGCGGCGTCGGGTTCGTCGACGGGGCCGAGCATCGGGGAACAGAAACTGACCGTTCGATCGCGGATTCTCGCTGGGAATCGAAGAGAGCGAAGAGGAGAGGAGGTTCTAGGGTTTGGAACTGAAATCTGAGGAATCGGAGAGAGAGAAATCGGGAGAATTTGGAGAGACGAGAGCGGGAGAGGAGGAGGGGATAAGAGCGGGGCAAATGGCATTGCTTCGTTGGAGATCAGTGAGTGTCGTTGACGCCGAGCTTTTAG